AAGTCGGTTTAATGACGGTTGCTCGCAATGTGCAGCTTTAAAAATGAAATAGCATCCCTTTTTATGTTATTTTCTTTCCATATAATAAAGAAATGTATAAAAACGAGTTAAATAAAAATAAAAACAACTTTAAGGGTTGACCATTTTAATTTTAAATTAAAGGATTAATTGTTTTATTTATTTTATTACAAAAGGGTTAAAAAGACGGGATTTCGTTTCTTTATGGCATTTTAAATAAAGTTTTATCAAATCTCCAGATAATATATAGTGCTTTGAAGATATTAGGAAACAAAAAAGCCGTTGGTGTACGTCAAAATCGACTGGAAACACCTCGAAATTATTTGATTATGCATAAAATAGTTGATAACATTAAATTGTGTCTTCTCCAATAAATTCAAAAACATTATTGTATCGAAAAGGCTGATTGGTATGAATCAAAATGGTGCTAACCTACTGGAAATACCTTAACGTTACTTAATAAGGCTAAAAATAGGTGATTACATTAAATGAGGTGATTTCCAGAAAATTCAAACACTTTAGTAGTTGGAAAAAGCTGATTGGTGTGAGTCAAAATGGTTCTAATACATTAAAAACATTCTTAAGACACTACACGAAGATGAAAAAATTAGAATCAATAATTTTAATGTTTTTTGAAAGTGTTTTAAAGATATTAGGAAGTAGAAAAAACTTATTGGTGTATGTTGAAGTGATGCTAACCTACTGGAAACATCTTGAGATTATTTGATGAGGTTAAAACAAATTCCGTAAGGGCTAAAATTACTTTGATATTTTTAGAAAGAGTTAATTTTAATTTAAAAGATTAATTTCGAATTGATTTTATTTATTTTATTATGAAAGGGTTTGAAAAGGAGGGATTTTGTTTTTTTAAATTTTTGTAGGGGATTTTGTATAAAGTTTTATCAACGAGTCGACAAAACGGCATATACACGTTAATCCCGAAAATCCCATGGGATTTTGTGACGTCCTCGGTTTGGGGAAAAATTCTCATATTTCCCCTAGTTATCGCGACAATTATCGAAATTAACCCTTGAGGCTTATGACCAACCGTATGGCGGGAACTTTTATCTCAAATGAACAAACTTTTAGAGACTTTTTAATGCCTCTTTTCTACGAACAACTTTTTTACTACTCCAACTACTCAACAAAAGATTTCATATTTAAATTTAATATATTGAATATTTCTGCGTGAATAATTTCAAAAAGTTCCCTTAAGTGTAAATAGATTCTCTATCGTCATAATAACAATAAAATGTTTACACTTTCGAGTAGACCCTACAAAATACTCCACCCTATGCAGTAATAGCCTGTCGATGGAGAGAGAAGAGGACAAGACCCCCAACGGAGCTTCGAAATCGCTGTCAGGGACAGCGGGAAATACGTTTTTAGGGTGCCCCAACCCCAAAATCCCGTATATGGGACAATGAGCCCCTCTCTCTTCCCACTGTGTTTCCATTTATTCTTCTCGTTTCCCGTCGTATTGCAAATTTTCCGCTCGGTCTGACCGAGAGAGAGATATTCAGGTCCTTCGAATCATGGACGAATTAATAGAGGGAAATTAATTGGGAATAGAAGACTCAGGGTAACTGGGATAATACCGCGGGATGGTATCGTAATTCGTAACCCCACAAAATGGGAACGATGATAAAAAGACTTCCTTTGTGAACGTTATAGCCTATATTTGCCGAATCGTCCCAAGTCTGCAAGTGACAGTCTTCGGTATTATAAACGATTGCCTTTTTCAAGATGAATAACCGGAAGATTTTTGTTAAAAAGTTTTTTTAGAAAAAATTAATACAAAACAACGTGCTTTTTATATCATCCCTTTAATTCTAATTCTGGTCTGTTGGGCATAAAGGATTTTTTTTAATTAAATTTCGTGAATTCTTTGCGTAAATGGAATGCATCCAACCGTTTTATTATTTCTGACCCATTTCCACTAATTATTTTTTTAATTTCAACGTAAACACGCAACTTAATAATATTCCAAGTTAAACTAGTTGTCTAACTTTAATTTAATTTGAAGTTATTTTAATAAAATTAATTTTATTGACTGGTTATTTTCAACCCTCCCTTTTTTAAATACGAACTCGATTTGGAGAATTCTAAACTGGAGAGAAACCAACCCCCCTATGACATTTTTGCGCCAATTTGACATGCAAAGCCGCCGCCCTGGACGCCTCCCTGGTCACCTCCCCATTCGCCGCCCCTTTAAAAAAAGGGGGTAGTAATGATTTCGACGGAGGGGGGCAGTTTTAGCAGCAGCTGGCCACCGGTCTCCTTTGTTTCATAAATGAGACCCCCTCGAAAATCCGTTTGATTTTTATACAAGTGGCACCAAACTCACGTGGCGTTGACGAATTTGTTTCTAATTTCAACACGTGTTTGGACACGTTTTTAGGGTGACTTCTCACCCCAAAAATTTGCCAAAAAAAAATTGATTTCGCTGACCCAAACGTTAAGAGTGCACAAGAATTTTTTTATTCATATGAGATATTTTTCAAATAAGATTTAGAAATATTTTTTCATAAACGATTTTTCTTTTGACACGTGGGGTGGAAAAGAATGTGATTCGCGAGGTAAATAAAGAGATTTTCACCCGTGAGGGATGCCGGATTTGATCGGATTCCTAGAATTCCGATCGCGAGGGTTCGAATTCGAGAGAGACTTATTAAAAGATCGCTCTATCAGCAGTCGAGACAATGCGGGGAGAGCGGAACGAAGCAACAGTGAGGGGGACAAGGGGCTAGATGACTGATGGCGTCCTCTTAATTAAACTGGGAGAATTAATCGCGGTCCTTGACTCACTAATTAATAAACCAAAGCGAGGTTTTCCCCTTCCATTTTCAACCTTCGAGGATCGCGATTTTTTATCTTAATTCTTAGATACTTTCTTTTTAGATGAACTTTTTGTGATCGTAATAGAAAATACACAAGATTGAGCTTGGATTATATAAATTGCGAGGGGGTGGGACCTTATATGGATACGCGAGAGAGCTTTGAAAATAGCTACCGAAGCAGTATATCTCGCTCAGGACAGGGTTTACACAGGACTTATTGCCGCCGGTGCCAACAATGCGATATAACACGTAAAAAATATTACGCCGGACGGAATGCGAAACGTGAAATGGAGTCGTTTATCTTTTATTGGGGAGAAAAAATAAAAAAATATCTCCTATCAAAGCTTCTAAAAACTTCCTTTGTTCAGAGTTTCAATATTGTGAGTAACAAAAAAATATGGGGTTAATTAAAAATATTTTAGAGTTGTGCTTGAACAAGAAAACAGTTTTTTAAAGGTAATTTTTTAATCTTTATGAAAAATCCTTTAAAATGAATCCAAACACGACCTATTTTGCTAATAAACATTCTGAGATATCTTTATTATTATATTTTTATAAAATCAAAGATGGCCGAAAACAAATGATTCGCAAATATTGTGATTAAGGATTACAAAACGCATGAAATGAGTCCAAACTCGACGTATCTAAGTGTTATAACACCCAAGATTTCGTTGTTTTTATAAATTCAAGATGGCCGAAAACAAAACACTAATTAATTGTGTCAAAAATACTTTTAAAAGTCAATTTTATGATAAATATATTGTGTGATACATCAAATTAGGTTAAAATTATCTGGTCTTTACGAAAATCTTATTTTTGATGTAGTATTTAAAAATTTTAACACATTTTGGAGGTTTTTTAAGTTACATTATTAACCTTTATGAAAAATTCTTTAAAACGAATACAAACACAACCTATTTAGTTATTAAATTTTCCGAGATATCTTTATTTTTATATTTTTTATAAAATTCAAGATGGCCGAAAACAAAACACTAATTAATTGTGTCAAAAATACTTTTAAAAGTGAATTTTGTGGTAGATGTAGAGTGTGATACATGAAATCAGGTTAAAATTTTCTGATCTTTACAAAAATCTTATTCTTTATGAAATATTTAAATTTTTTATACATAATTTTTTTAATCCCGTTCAAGATAAAGCAACAATCCATGAAATTAAGTAACTTTATTTTACGATTCGTAAAATTAGTTGCCTATAGAAGCATTATTTCTTAATCGTTTGAGTTTCATTTAAAAAAGAAGAAAACCACTCAGGTAATCGACATCACAACGAAAAGAAAAAAAAACTTTTTACAACCTATGCCATAAAGGGTGTGTTTTTCTGTAGCAATAAAGAACAGTATCGCGACGTTTCCCGGAGCAAACGGCGGTCGTCAAACTTTTACGACCGCGCTCCGGGAAATCCTCCTCCGGAGGTCTTTGTCACCTTCTCGACTCGTGCCGTTTGTTATTGCCGTAAAAGACAGAAGGGAGACGACGACGACGACAACGACCGGCGTTAATAACCGCCGAAAACGAGGCGCGATTCTCTAAACGCCCGATAATTCGGTCCGGGAGGATTAATTTTGAGGCCGAAAAGGGGTTGGAAACGCCGCCACCCCTAAGCCTTTCGCAGCCCCACCCGAAAATGATCGCGTTTTTATTGTCCGCTCTAATGAAGTTAAAGTCGGGGAGTAATTAGTGAGATTGAACGTAAAATTAGGAATTTTCCTCGTTACGGTCCTGGTGGTGTGATGGTGCTTGGGGAAAATCTTCCGGGAATTCTAATGAGTCCGATATGACGTGTAAGAGGAAAAGGGTGGGATACTCAAAAGGATTTAATCGAAAGAAATTTCTTCACTTCTATTAATAAATAATAATTTTATATCAAAGTCCACATCCTATCCTATTGTAATAAAAGAAAAAATGAGATCTTAACTTTAACATTTTGGATTTTCCCAGATAAACCAGAGTCGGACTTAGGTTATATTTTGTTTTATAAATTATTGTATAACATTTTTATTAAAAAATTCCACACTACTCGTTTAAAATAATTCAGAAAAATCTCCATGTTTATATTCAATAATTAATCTAAAACGCACTTTGACGTCAGGCAAGGTCAAGGATCAACTGAATGCGGTTCTGTTCTCATGGCTCGAGGCGATGAAAAAGAACTAACTATATCGAGAGATACGCGATATTTTCTGAATTTCTAGTTTGTTTTACGGACTCGGCGAGAGAGAACGTCATTTCCATTCGATTATTAGCGGTTTTACCAAAGTTGTTTAACCGGATCGTAACATTTATTTGTAAAGAGAATATATACGTATCTCCTTGGTTAGTTTTCAGTTTGTTTAATACGATGGCAGCACTGGAACGTGCCAGCGATCTTCACCCAAGGTTATAAAAAATTTTCGATTTCACCGACCCATAGTTCCTAAAATTAAAGTATGACAAGGATACAACGACATCATTGTAGATAACATTTTTGAACAGAACGAAAATAAGCTTACAATAACAAAATGTTGAAGTTTGGATATGTTTGGTTTTTATTTTTGTGTGCAAGTGAATTGGAAATCGTACTGACTCAAAATGTGACTAATGAAGATGTTCACGAAAGTAAGTTTTAGACTAATTAAAAACGATTAGTAATTATTTTTTAAACGATTAGGATTCGTTACACCGTGTACCACTCCGAACGGCCGAACAGGATTATGCATTGAAATTCAAAAATGCAAAATTTTCATGAAAGTCATCGAAGAGCGCAAACAAGATTCATTTTCCTTCATAAAAGCATCCAAGTGTGGGCCATCAAATGAAGATCCATTGAAACCTAGGGTTTGTTGTGGAGATGATATCCATTTTGTTAACCAAGGTATACAATTTTTTTTTCACTTTGTGGTTTCAATCATTTTCCTCATTTCAAAAAATTATTAATGGTCTATTCTGGTTAGTTAGGCGAAAAATGTTTTTATGTTTTATAGATACTCTATTCCACAGATAATTTTAATATATGCTTGAAAAGTCCGGATATGATTCGTTGAAAATTGTGTAAGTTGAAAAAGTGGTTTCGGGAAAATCCAATTAATGTTTCAAGATAATATTCTTGTTGACATAAATTTTTATTTCTTATATATTGAATAATTACTTATTTGAGTGATTCGATCCAGCTTCATCGATATTGTGCAATCTATTTATATTGTATATTATTGACTTGAAAATCTTTATTTGTTTTTGAGATAATAATTATTAAATTTGACCAATTTTTTATGATATCATAAAGTGAACAATCTTGTTTTGAAAAATCACGAAAAATCGAATTCTTAAGATATCTTAATGAAACACTCATGATTTGTAAAGGAAAGTGCCTACTTTCGTATGATCAAAACCGAATTTGAAAATCTCTACTCGTTTTTGAGATAATAATTATTGAGCTCAACCTGATTTTTATGATTTCATAAAGTTAACAATCTTGTTTTAAAAAATCACGAAAAATCGAATTCTTAAGATATCTTAATGAAGTATTTATGATTTATAGAGGAAAATGTCTACTTTCTTATGATAAAAACAAAACTTGAAAATCTTTATTCGTTTTTGAGATACTCTGCGTATAACACAGATGTCACCATTTGTGACACTGTGTACCAGGCTGACATGGATCGTTGTGCAGCAACCTTAGTTGACTCGGAAGACCAAATCCTAACGCAAGTGGGACAAGAATGGAGGTGGATCTTTATCGTCAAGCTGGTCGTGGGTCATGGGTCAAGCTTTCACCCGTGAAATAGAATGAACGTAAATATTTGGAAAAAAATCTTTACCAAGAATGAATTTAATCTACTTGTACTGCTTAGTCTATTGACTTGCTAATTACTTCGTGGAAGAAAAAGATGCATGAAGCTCTTATAAAATTAGAAAAGTTGGCAAACCTCGTTGCCCTACAAGGTTTTTAGGGAATTATGTTAAATTTAGGGAGATATTTATGCTATACTTTTTTTGACCTAACTAACCAAAATTGAACGAAAAAAATGAAAATGTTTCGATATTAATTTTGAAAATTGTGCATTAAAAGTGTCTTTTACCACATACTTGATATAAAAAAAGTAAGTAGACATGAAAATATATTTCAAGGATATGGTATAAAGATACTGATTGACATTTATAATTTTTAGATCATTTTTTCTTTGATTTTAGATGCAAACGCAGTACAATCAAACAGCCAGGAATACATCCCAGCTAAAGATATAACAACCCCATTACCCCTTCACTTAAGAGATCCCCTCCCAACTATGTGCGGAACTCAGAGGGTGGTTATTAATAATAGGATTGTTGGTGGGCAAGAAGCTAGCATTGGGGAGTTTCCTTGGATGGCCAGAATCATTCATAGAAACTCTTATAATTACACCTCTTTGGGATGTTCCGCGTTTGTCATTCACCGAAAATTTGCTTTAACAGCGGCTCATTGTGTCAAGGGACTTGGTGTTCAAGCTCTTGGTGGAATGTAAGACTTATTTTCTTGTTACAAAATTAACAATTAAATGATTTAATTAATTATTTTAGTGTCGGAGTTATTTTAGGTTCTCATAACTCAACGCGCGAAGGAACTTGCGTTAAATCAGAACTCGAAGTGATATGTTCCCCAACTCCGAAATATATTGAATCTTTAACACCGATAGTTCATTTAGATTATGAGCTTAAAGAACATACTAATGATATCGCTTTAATTCCTTTTAAAGAAAAAATAGTGTTTACTGATTTTATCAAGGCTATTTGTTTGCCGAAGTTTGAATCAAACGTCCCTGATTTTACGATTTCTGGATGGGGGAAAACTGAGTCAGGTAAGATTTTATTAATTCGTTTTTGTTATAATTATTGTTTTAATTATTAGATACTGGGAGTCCTGTTAAATTAAAAGTAACTCTTCCTCGAGTTGATCGGGGTTATTGTGATAAAAGATATAGAACGATTGGGAGAAGTATTTTGGAGAATCAACTTTGTGCTGGCGGTGTTAGTGGACAAGATTCTTGTGCTGGGGATAGTGGGGGGCCTTTAATGGCTTTTAATGTGCAGGATCAAAAATGGTACTCTGAAGGAATTGTTAGTTATGGGTTAGGATGTGGAAGAGAAGAATGGCCGGGAGTTTACACCAACATCCCTAAATATTATAATTGGATCGTTGACACCATCAGAAGGAATAAACCCGAATAAAAATTAAATTGAAAATAAACTGGGGAATAAAGAGACTTTTTCGAATTATGTTATATTAAGTATTTTTGTATTTTTGCTGTATTACGACGTTTTTAATTTCATATTATTTTTAAGAAAAATAAATTTATATTGAACTCAAAATATTTTTCTCTTCCTAATCTTACTAACTATACGTTAATTAATATTTTTAACAAAAAAAGAGAAAATACCAGTCACGCAACAAAGTTTCAAACACGTTTTAACATAATTTAAATCAATCCTTGAGAATTCCAATTTAACCAAGATTTAAAAAGTCTTTCATAAATATTAATCGAACCTAATAAAACAGGTTTTCAACTTTTCGAAAAAAGAATAAAATCCTCTTCTTATTAAAACTCGTCGGCGAACGTCACCGCTGCGTCAACGCAGCAACCAAGCAAAATAAAAGGACCCTAGCAGGTTCTTAAGCGACTCATAATAATATCACGACTCACGTTCATAAGCAGTCGACCCAGTCGACGTTCGACCTTCGTAGCGACGATCATGGTGCCACTTTTCGTTTCATTTCTTTTCATTCTTTGTATCTCCATAATTGGGGCACGTAAGTTTTAGATCTAAAAACCTTTCAACTTTCAACTGATAACCTAATTTAATAAAATTTGTTTTCTTCTAGAACAAAGATGTACAACTCCAAATGGAGAAGTAGCACGTTGTGTACCAATACATAGTTGTTCCATTTTTTTGAAAGCTTTAGACTCTGCCGATGCTACAAGTCGAGCTTTTTTAAAGGCTTCAGTTTGTCCGGGAATATCGCCTTTAGCGGTATGTTGTGGGAGTTATACAACTTATCAAAGTTTAGATGATTCATCTTCTCTTCCTGATAGAAATTCATGTGGGATTCAGGTAAATTAAATAATCTTTTTTAAATCATCATCACAATACAGTTTTTAGGAAGACACAGATAAAGTTTTTGGTGGGACAAACGCAGGCATCGTTGAATACCCATGGTTAGCAACACTCCAATACAAAAATCAATTAGGACATTTATCGTTTAAATGTGGAGGAGCCCTCATCAGCAATAAATATGTATTAACAGCAGCTCATTGTGTTACAAACCCAAAACTTACTCTGTATGTCAATCTAATTTCACCTCAATTAATTATTAAAATAATAACATTTTTAGTCACCGTGTAAGATTAGGAGAATGGAATTTAGACTCGCCAGAAGACTGTTTTGGCACCGCACCTTTTAAACAATGCATTTCAAAACCAATAGACGCCGAAGTTGAAGATATCATAACACACGAGAAATACTCTAAATCCACGGGAGGTGTTTTCTTCGATATTGCATTATTAAGACTTAAAACTCCAGTTTCTTACTCGATATCAATCAGACCCATTTGTCTCCCAAAACCGGATGAAAAAAGTTCTGCTGGGGAATTAGTTTACGTCGCCGGATGGGGTAACACTGAATATTCAAGTTATTCGCCTATTAAACAAAAACTTGGACTTCCAATTATGGATCCAAATAAATGCCAAGATTTGTTTGGGCGAAGTGGGGTTACGGTTAATAATGACCACATTTGCGCGGGGGGTGAAAACTTGAAAGATTCTTGTAAAGGTGATAGTGGTGGGCCGTTAATGGCAAGGATTCGAGAAAACCCGAATCAATTTTATTTAGAAGGAATCGTTTCTTATGGTGTTAGAATGTGTGGATCTCCAGGGATACCAGGAATTTACACAAGAGTTAATAAATACTTGGAGTGGATCAATTCCAAAATAACTCCCTAAATAATTTCGATTTTCTTTATAGATATGGTTAGAGTATTTATTTTTTTAAGATTTTATAACTTTGAGGATTTGTATTTTTTAAATTAATTTGTGTTACTTAAAAAAATGACAAAATAATGACAATAAAGATTTTTTTGAATCGCATTTGTTTGTTACTTTTTAATCATAAGCAATAAAAAAAGTTAATGGGAACGTTGGAAACGATAATCACTTTAATAGCTAACAATCAATAATCATTATACAAAAATGTTGTTCTAGTAAAAAGAATTTAAATTGAATCAATTGCGATTTTCTTCTCTCAAGAATCAAAAAGCTAGAAACTTGCAATTTTTACCAAATTAAAGAAGAATCCTTCCTTTATAACCTCAAAAAGTTTCGCTTTTCCAATTCAATTAATTAACAAGAAATTAATTTGTTTGTAAACCATGATATTACAAATTTTTATTATTTCAATTTCAGTTAAGGTTAACAATAAGTTCAGTTAAAGTTTTCTCAAGAATCGAAAATGTTAGAAACTTGCAATTTTCACCAAATTAAAGAAGAATCCTTTCTTTATAACCCCAAAAAGTTTCGCTTTTCCAATCCAATCATTTAATGAGAAATAAATTTTTATATAAACCATAAAATTACAAATTTTTGATTATTTCAATTTCAGTTTAGATTAAGTTCAGTTAAACTTTTCTCAAGAATCAAAAATGTTACAAACTTGTAATTTTCACCAAATTAAAGAAGAATTCTTCCTTTATAACCTCAAAAAGTTTTGCTTTTCCAACCCAATTAATTTCCAAGAAAATATTTTTTTTGTTAATCGCAAATTTAGAAATCTTAATAAAAAATTAAAATATTAATAAAATTCTAAAAATATCTGCAGAAAGATCTTAATTTATTCTGACGTATTAATATCTGTATGTAAACTAATTTTTGATTATATTAAAATCCTTACACAACCATTGATGACGTCTTAAACGTTCTTAGTATAACGTCTGAAATGAAATTGCATCAAAACATACGATACATAAATGAATAATCAACGGGATTTTATAAAAGAAAATCATATACAGATAAAGAAAATTACAAGGTAACAATTATTAACCATTTGTCATCGTCATTATTACCGAAGTTGTTTCGATCTTGTGCAATTAACTCCTGCGGTTATACGAAAAACCAGAAGCTACGCACGCACGAAACGTTTTCTTTCTTCAATTTGTAATTTAAATGACGCCATCTATTCTGGTTTCTCGCAAAAGATATCCAAGTTAAAGCATATATAAGAAATCGTCCCGATCTGTTTTAGGAGCAGTTTGTGTTTAACAGTGTTCGTGCGAAGAACCTTGCAATGAAGGTTTCGACAACCATCGTGTTTTTCGCCTTGTTATTGGTTCTTGGAATAACGAATATAACAGCTCGTAAGTATTAATTAAAAAAAAAGATAATGTTATCTTGTCACTGTTGAACTTTGAAAACCGGTTCATTAAAATCGATGACCTTCAGAGCTTGGTTGTTGTTTTTGTTTTCTTTCTTTCTGGTTATGTTTTGAGTTTTATTTTTTTTTTAGAATCTGGTTCTGCCTGCATTACCCCTAACAAAGAAAACGCAAGATGCATCTCAATTTATTCATGTCCAGTTTTATATGATGCAGTATCAACTACAGATCCTCAAATTATTCAATTTTTAAAGCAATCACAATGCGGGTTTTCTAGCACTCCTTTGGTGTGTTGTGGAAAACAGGCTAATTATGTTACCAGAACATCTTTTAGTGATAATGGTGGTGCCGCGGCTGGAAACTTATTACCTCCAGAAGATCAATGTGGGGTACAAATAAATGATAAAGTTTTAAATGGTGAAACAGCAGGTCTTCGTGAATTCCCATGGATGGCTTTATTAAGATATAGAAACGCATCTGGTTTTGAAAGTAATTCTTGTGGAGGAACCTTAATCAGCGATAGATATGTTATAACAGCCGCTCATTGTTTAATTGGCGCCATAAGAACTTTTATTGGAGATTTGTAAGTTTAATTTATTTGATTAAGATTCGAATTAATATTTTTTTTAGGATTTCAGTGCGTTTAGGAGAATTTAATACGCAAACGGCAAAAGATTGCGTTTTAACTCAAGGTTTTAATCTTTGTGCTGATGATCCCGTAAATGTGGGCGTTTCAGGGACCATCCCCCATCCTCAATACGATGATACCTCAAGAGATAGACTGTTCGATATTGGGTTAGTTCGATTACAAAGAAGTGTAACTTATTCAGATTATATCAGACCGATTTGTCTTCCATCGCCGAATGAAAGAGCAACCGTTGGAAATTTCCTAACGGTCGTGGGATGGGGAAGAACCGAAACTGGAAGATACAGCCCCACCAAACAAAAATTATTAGTACCAGTTGTTGAACCAAATCGATGTGCTGCCACGTTTAGAACACAAAGAGTGACATTGAGAGATTCCCAATTATGTGCTGGAGGTGAAAAGGATAAAGATTCTTGTAAAGGAGATAGTGGAGGTCCTTTACTTAATTTAAGAAATAATGGGCAATATTTTATTGAGGGGGTTGTTTCATTTGGTGCTACTTGTGGTACTGAAGGTTGGCCGGGAATTTATACACGAGTTTCGTCTTATTTGAGTTGGATCAAACAGAATTTGAAACCATAATTTCTTTTTTATTAAGGCGTTTAATTTATAATGTGAAATTTTTGTAATCAATAAATTATTTTTTATAAAAATTGCGTTTGGTTGAATTAAAAAAATTAAAAAAATCGTATCGGAGTTATAGAAACGAAGAAATAATATTTAGTGTGTTAAACTAGATTAAATTTACTATAAAATGATTTTTAAATCATCTCGATATCTTAATTACTTTCCGAGATATGATTATTTAAATATTGGTATTTATAAAATGTGAACTTTATGAAATTAATATCTCATAAACTAATTATAACTCAAAAAGTAAAAGTGATTTAAAAAAACGAGTTTAACCACCAAAAAGGTGAATATTTTCTTTATAAAATTCCCTAATTACAAAATAATTGAGATAAAAATCGATTTTTAACGATTTTTGCTCAAAGCTTTGTGATAATTATGAATTATTGCGATTAAAAATTTTTATCTTTAAATGTAAACGAGATTGTCAAAATCGGATTTCACCACGATAAAATAGATAATTATCTTCTTATATACTGAAAATATCAAAACAATATTCCAAAAAATGGATTTTTCGCGAAGTTATAAATGCCAGGAAAAAAAATGTTTCAATAAATTTTTTTTAAACGATCATATCTCAAGAACGAATTGACATATCATTATGAAATAAAGAGCGTTTTAAAGCAAATTTAATGTAGATTTAATATACCAAAAATAATTTCTTAGTTTCCATAAACTTGGATGTTATGATTTTTTTAAACCTACATCTACACATATGATTTAAATTTTGGGTATAAAACTTAAAAAAAATCATATCTCAAGAACGAATTGTGATATCATGATGAAATAATAAACATTTGAAAGCAAATTTGTTAAGGATTTAGTCTGCTAGAAATAATTTCTTACTTTTCATGAATTTGGATGTTATGATTTTTTTAAACCTACATCTACACATTTGATTTAGATTTTTAGTATAAAACTTAAAAAAAATCATATCTCAAGAACGAATTGTAATATCATAATGATATAACAAACATTTTAAAGCAAATTTATTACCGATTTAGTGTGCTAGAAATAATTTCTTATTTACCATAAACTTGGATGTTATGATTTTTTATAGCCCCCCCCCTGCCAATTATTTGTCGTTGACTTCAAATTAAATCGTAGAAACTATTTATTGAAATTAATCTTTAGCAATTAAAAATAATTTTAATAAATCGTTCCGTAAACAAAACTATTTATCACCCATTAATTTTCTTCTCAAAATAAGTCGTGTTTATTGGTATCATTTCTAAGTAAAAAAGATAGCGATTATGATATTTTTAATCGTTTGCGTAAAACCCACAATTTCAACCAAGAATTTGTAATTTATTTGTAATTTCTTTGCACGAAGGACTCGCTAGAAAGACTCATAGTAGCTGAACAGGTATGTGGAGACGAGTCACGACGTCAAAATCGATATAAAAGCGGCGAAACCGTTTTTATTCTCTCAGAAAATTGTAATTATCAAAACGGTAATCACATGCACGCGTAGTGAATTCAGTGAACCGAATTAAATAATCTTAAACGTTATTAAAACAGTGTGATTGTGTGAATCCCGGAGTTTATGTGAATCATAATGGGTTTCTTCCTAAGATGTTATCTATCACTGACGTTATTGTTTAGTTGTGGAGGTCACGCGCAAAAAGTTTGTGTTTATATGAAAGATTGTCCGTTGATTTATGAATTATTAAAAGCTGATGATGGACAAAAACAAATTGAGGAAATAGTTTGTGAGAAACATCTGAGATATCCTAAAGTGTGGTGTAAAATTCCTTGCGAATTAAATTCGAATGAAAAAGGTTAAAATTAATTAATATAATTGTTTAAAAAATAAAATAATTAATTTCTTAAACAGGTTTTTGTAGTTTACCATCAGATTGTGAAACCACAACTGAAAGCAATAATTTTTGTAACATTAATGATTCATTAAATCAGTATTTGTGTTGCCATAAAAAATCTGACACTAATTCAACTTTAACAAGAAATTTAATTGAAACTACAACAATACAAGAAGATACAACGATTAATTTTACAAGTAACAGAATGATTAATTTAAGGGTTTCGCAGCCTGATTTAGATATTTGCGGTACACAAGTTGACACGGTTAAAGTTGCAAATGGGAAAATAGCTACGATGTTTGACCATCCTTGGTCGGTTTTGTTGCAATATCTCGAAAAAGGAAAGTTGGTGATTAAATGTGGAGGAGTTTTAGTTAGTGATCGATTTGTTTTAACCGCTGCTCATTGTCTTGATATTTCTAGAGCCGAATTGTAGGTTAAATTAGTATGTATTTCAAATATTTATTATTAATATTTTTTCTTGTAGATTGTTTGCAATTTTGGGGGAATACAACGTAACTAACGCAACAGATTGTTTTAGGGGATTTTGTATGCCCCAACCGCTTAAAATCAGTATTAAAAACACTGCAATTCATCCGGATTGGTTCACTTTTGAACGACCGTTTTATAATGATATAGCGTTAATCGAACTTGAACGAAAAGTTGAATATAACGGTATTTTAATATTATATTTTACCAACCTCCCAGCAACAAACTTTTACACGTAATTTCCTAATTTACACCGGTTTTAGATAGAGAAAGAAGTTAGTTTTTTGCTATCTTTAATAATAATGAAGATATTAGCTAAGAAAGTAGATAGGAAATTACGGGTAAAAGTTAGTTGCTGGGGTTTATATTTCATAATTATTTTAATTATAAATTTTTTTAATAGAATTTATTCGCCCTATTTGTTTGAATCAAATTTACGAGAAATCGCCGAATCCTTTAGTTGTGGTTGGTTGGGGAAAAACGGAATTTGGTAAATATGAATGTAATTAAACTTACCTTAAATAATAAATCTTTAATTTCCAGATGAATTAAGCGACGTTAAACGCGTAGCTAATCTTGATCTTCAACCAAAATCATCCTGTTTGAACACAGTTAAAATCCCACTAATTGAATCTCAATTATGCGTTGGTGGTGGATTGGAAGATTCTTGTGATGGCGATTCAGGTGGGCCATTGGTTCAAGTAGATCACTCAAAAAGCCAACCGATATGGAAATTAATCGGTTTGGTATCTTTAGGAACCGGAAAATGTGGTACCATCGGGAAACCTGGAATTTACACGAACGTTTCTTATTATTACGATTGGATTATTAATAAAATTACATGATAAAAGATTTTTTTTGATGTATATTTATTTGTTTTTGTACTTTTTTGTCAATAAAATGTATGATGAAAAATGGTGAGATTGAAAAAGGAACCCTCGTTTTGATATATAGGCTTTATGTTGTGGTGCCTTACTGTCATCCCGCAGACTTAATTGCTCGTTTGTCCGAACCATTCCAAGGACATAAAAGGAAAAATAATGGCTCCTACAGATTTATACGATCATCTCTACGGGGTCACTATTTGTTACACGTTAATCTCTTCGTATATTTACGACTACCATTCAACTTGTAATAAAAACAAAAGGGACAAAGTCGCGTTATACAACAATAATATTTCCATCTTCTTGTCATAATCCCATCAAAATCTATAAAAAAAATAATAACAAAAAAAACTAAAGTAATAAATTAGGGAATATATTACATTTTGAAAGAGATGAGGAAATACGTTGATAGAGGGGGATTTTAGATTGCTTTATCCCTTTGAGAGACGCGGTTACATCGGTTTTAATGAAACCATGTAAGGTATATGCCGGTGAAAGTCATATCTGGACATTCGATAGGTGCTTTGGACATTAAATTGGGGCGCGTTCTCATCATCAATGAAAGTTATGTCCCCTACGTGTATCCTTTTCCTCTTTGATAAACCCTCTTTTGACCATTTCTAAAAGGTTACCATGTTAACATCTAACGTTACGTATTCAATATAATCTACGTTTTTCCAAAAAAATCATTAAAAATCGATTTTTAAACGATTTGATGACAAAAACTCTGTTTGATCAATACCCCTAATCTGAGTTTTTTGTTACCTTTGTTACATCAGACATTCAAAATGAACGTTGAGGATTTGCAAATAAACGACGTAGTGAAAAAGTTTGGGTGACGTATGAGTTGATTTAAATCCATCTAAATCTCGCTTGCGAACTTTCGCCGAGGAGTTCGATGTCATCAAGCGTCGTCGACGACAAAGAACTGAGTATCGCGAGCGAGAAGAGATTTGAGTATGTCGTCTGGGTTGAAAGCCAGAAAAAATGGGTTCATTTCGCATCCATCTCCATCAATACTTTAAACGGGACTTTTATCTTATATAACTTTGATATTTTTAAAAAATTCAAGTTTGTGTTATTTTATTTATTATTTTTTTTTGAAGTCGAAAATACACAATAGAAGTCCCTTGATAAAAAGGGAAAAAGGAGGGCGTCAACGAACCCAACACCGAACAATGCCAAATACGGCATCAAGGAAAAGAAAAAAGAGAAATACGAACAGGGGTGTATACAGACGAAATCCTCGATAATCCGGCCATTATGTAGAGACCCGAGGGCATGTCCAGATATTATATTCATACATGTAACGTGAGCACAGTGACGTCGGGTAATCTCTAGGCCGAAATTCGTACTCGAGGGGGCCCAAAACAGAAAACGTCAAAGAGAGAAAAGCAAAAATCGATTTCGGTCTTTCCGCTGAATGCGCTGCAACCCTTAAAAACGACTCAACGACGCTCGTTAAGCGTTGATTACGAGAGGATTTGATTACTATTGCCTTTCCCTCCAAGTACTAGGAAATGCTTAGGTGACACTTATTTTATCCCCATCAAATAATTATCAATGAAAAAGAAAATAAATAAATTCCTTTCTTTTCATTTCCTCCCTCTTATGTTGCCTGTCACTTTTTACGTCCTCGATTTAATATGGGACGACGTCGAAAGAAAATGGCACACGACCGGGGAATTCCGCGATATGACGATGTGACCATCATAAGAGTACAATAAAAGAACCCGTACGTCCCCGGTAGTAGCAAGCAAAATGACGCTAATTCCCCCCGCTACGGGCATTGTGCTCGAATCTCGACGACAACGAACAATACGAAGTATAACGATGATTGTTGAGGAGAACCTGGGGGTCCTCGAGAGCGTCTTTGGGAACCGTTAATGACAGCGGTTCTAGGTCATTTCGTCAACTCAATGTTAACCGTAAACGCCTATTGTTGGTAAATTCGCGACCGCTGACCGTCCCATTAAGTCTGTGTGGGTCCACGTTAGAAGGAGGTTTTCATGGTAACTCAAGATGTTTAAAGGAGCACTTAATCACCAACTATGACCAAGATATTGAGTTAGAAAACCTCAAATACACAATAATCAGAAGACACCAATGAATTTCTTTTTTTTTGTCAATTTTCTAAGTAGTCAAATTAATTACAATCTGCCAAAAAAAATTATTGTATCATTTTGACGTGACGTAATAAACAAAATCGTCTAAATGAAGGCATGAGGTGCGGTGATATTGTTCATTTTATGCCAGCGAAAACCGCCATCATTTACGCGTTGCAACTCTTTGAAAATTGTTAAAAAGAAGAAATGTTCGTCTGCCGATTCCGTGATGGTTAATCATTCGCATACGTCACTGCCCGTGGTGCATAGCGACAGTTCGGAGTGGTCAAGTGGCGAGGAGGAATCGGCACCAATCTCAAAAAATGTTCCTGCTAAAATTGAAACAAAGAAAAAGGGTAAAAATTTAACGAAAGCAACGGAAACGGAATCGGCTTCTCAACAGAAAAAAAAATTTAAAAAGAATGTGACTGTTTGTCTCACTAATTGCAGGTTGTTTAATTCATTTTTCGATTTTATTTTTTAAGATTGTATTTTATTTTTCTTTTGTATTTTAGATATGATGTTGTTAGAAGGATTGCGTCTAAATTTGGGTATAAAGAGGTAGGAGAGCAAGATAACTGGAATTTATATTGGACTGATTTATCGATATCAATAGAAAGATGTAAAGAAATGAAAAGATTTCAAAAAATTAATCATTTCCCGGGAATGTTAGAGATATGCAGAAAGGATTTGTTGGCGAGGAATCTTAACAGAATGAAACGACTTTTTCCAAAAGATTACAATTTTTTCCCAAAAACTTGGAGCTTACCGGCGGATTTAGGCGACGCTTTAACTTACAGCAGATTAAGAAAAAATAAAACATACATACTCAAACCGGACGCGGGGAGTCAAGGAAGAGGAATCGTCATCACTAAAAATTTAAAAGATATTAAACCATCCGATCGAGTCATTTGTCAAGTTTACATAACCCGACCCTATTTAATTGACGGCTTTAAATTCGATTTAAGGGTTTACACTTTAATTACTTCTTGTGATCCATTAAGAATTTACATCTACAGAGAAGGATTAGTAAGATTCGCAACAAGTCGATATAAAGAACCAACCGGTGTTAACATCACCAACGTTTTCATGCATCTAACTAATTACGCTGTTAACAAACACAGCAGAACTTACACCGTCGATAATGAAGCCGGATCGAAAAGAAAATTAACTTGGTTAAATTGTTATTTAAGAAGTTTAGGTCATGATGTGGAAAAACTTTGGCGCAACATCGACGATGTTATTATTAAAACGATTTTAAGCGCATGGCCGGTTTTGAAGCATAGTTATATGGCTTGTTTTCCCAGCCACGATGTGATTCCGGCTTGCTGCGAACTTTTAGGGACCGATATTATTTTAGATAAACGTCTTAATCCGCAAATTTTAGAAGTAAATCACTCACCGAGTTTCCACACGGACACGGAATTAGATTGCGAGGTAAAAGAAGGTTTATTAACCGATATGTGCGCAATGTTAAATTTGGAGCAATGCGATAAGAGAAAAGTTTTGAGGGAAGATCGCAAAAGAGTACGAGAACGATTACTTCAAGGCGTGAACAATTTAAATTCAAACGAACAAAAAAACTTTTCCGAATGTTATCGTAACGAAATGAAATATCGTGGTGGATTTCGCTTGGTTTTTCCGACGATGAACGGAGATCATTCTTACGATAAATTTTTCCATCAGGGACAAGCCTCATTGTATTGCGATACCGCTTCGAGCAGAGCTCGAGAAAATGCTCAAGCAGCGTTCAGAGATGAAATGCAACTTAAAGCTAAAATGGAAGCTGCGAAACGAGTACCATCATTAAAACCACCGGGAAAACCACCAAAAACCGATTCTTTCCAGACTGTTCAAGTTCCAAATTTAAAATTGCAACCATCACCACGTTTCACAATAAACTCATTCGAGCCTCAAATGATTGTTGAAGCTGAAGAGAAAGAACGATTGATGAGATTATCGCAAAGGGATTATTTGGTAAGAAGCAACGGATTGTTGGAGTACGTTTATTTTTCGATGAAGGTAAATGGGACCTTGAGACCTCAAGATGAACGAAAATACGCGATTTATGATAAAATTAAAACGATGAGTGACAGCACTATTAAGTCTCAAGGTCCGGCAATAACCGATTTATTAGAAGGTATTCGAAAAGACGATGGATTATCCCATGCTGCTCCTGCAACGTGGAACTTTTTATCCTCAGATCGACTTCCTCCAGTAAAGGATCATAATAACAAGAGGAAAAAAGTTAATAAGTTGACGAACGTAAAAGTGGCGTAATTTGTTTTTTTATGGAATTTAGAATCTTGTGAACACGCTCAATAAATATTTTGATTTCTTGAAAACTTAAAGGTATTTTTAAAAACGGTTTTTGGTATTAATTTAAGATTTGAGATATATTACATTATCAATTTTACAAAATCCCGTATAAAAACAATATCTTTAATCTTTACCATTTCTTTTCTTATATTTTCACCAATAAATCCCGTAGAAGAGACAATTTGAGCTACATAATCCACATCGATTGACCTAAATCACGAACACAGTTATCCCTTGCAAATACAAGGGGTGGCTATAATGTCGTGACACTCCCAATATTTCAGCCGATTAGAATACATAAATCCCATCCCACGCCGGAATCTAGAATGATTTCGAAATCGGCAATTTCAAACGGGTAGGCAATAACATACTTAAGACCAATCCCACCCAAAAGATAACGATTTCTACTCTTACGCGTTTTAGGGGCGCGATTTACAATTGTGTGTGATTTTATATAATAAAATACACTCTCGCGAGTTTCCGGGTCTCCCTACGTTCGTTATTCGATTCAATCAAACGTGTATCGAATTTCGTCGACGACGAGATGGTAGCACACGCTGCTGCCTCTCGAATTGCTTATTCAGCGTGCTCACGCCCTGGTAATCTGGCATTATCCCGTCATTGTCTGGGGGGAAGGAACCGAAGACGTTGGGAATATGCGCGAGGAGTTCCATGGAAAATCGCGAGAAAAGTGGCAGACAGCCCGTCAGCACGCCATAACCGACACTTGTAACGTCTTCTTATGAAACGTTGAGAAATTTATTGAGACTTTCAAAATCTCATTCAAAGTCAGAATGAATCTTGAAAAGTTGTCTATATATAAAAGGAGTTTTCCAATTTTCCACTAGAACTACTTGCCTATACACATTGGCGTCTATTAAACGATGAAGCAATAAATTCATATTTCGGTCAGCGCCGCTTGAGAACAATTTCCCGGTACGGTGAACGCCAAAAGGAACATCTCCGAGCAATTTAATTACTGCGGCCCGCCTCGTATATATATGTTATAATTATAGCGGGGAATTTATAAAGATTTACCACGACCCAGACTTCGGTTATTAAAGCTGCTGGCAGCCCTTCTCTAACATGGTGGCTTCCAGCTTTCCGCACGCCTCGTTTGATGTTTATCGCTCGCCACAACTCTCCAAAAAGGGAGAAAAAGAAATCCTTTTTAATTATAAACAAATATAACTCACTCAAATAAATCCAACACCATCATTATCGCTAACTATACCCGTAACCGTGGTGACATCTTAAGATATTAGTGCCAGGCAATTATCAAATTGAAGTGGGAGCTATTCTCCGCCCACTTAAACCTCCGGAGAAACCCCCGGACCGCTAACTAATGGCTACGGGGAAAAGTGCAGGGTCTTCAAAGGAAGGGGGAAGGATGGCTTCCGTTTGCGGTTACACAACCAGTTGTGTAGCGATAAATTTGTTTAACAGGTTCCACCGGAGAAACTGGGAATCTTAAGCAACTAAATATTATTCCCCCAAAAGCCTGCTTTAACGGGTTCCTTTCTCTGGGGTTTCCCGGAGATGCGAAATTCTTTCTAAAGAGGAAAGGAAAAGCGGGCTAAAAATAAACAAATACCGTAGATTTCGTTACATCATTTATTACGGCTAATGGAAGCGACGCCCGGAACGTCTCCCCGTTGCGGCTAAGTGAAAGAGCAAAAAGTCTCCGATTCTTATTTTTCACTCACTGCTGTACCAATTATATTTTATCCCGGATGACAGCCGTCGTAGACTCGGGGAAACCCCGAAGGAAGTGGCCTTAACGCTAAGCGGATTAGCTGATCTCTCTCCCTCTGTTCCGGTTCGAACCTTTCCCCCCATCCACCTTAATAGATTTCCGAAAGTCCGGATTTTGTGTCAATGAAACGGAAATCGAAAAATAATAATCATAATAAGTGTAATTAAAATAAATTTTAGTGGTAAAACGAGATGAAGATTCATTAAATCCTAAGAAAGTTTTTTAAATCCTCCATGTTTGTCAAATAAAAAACAGACTTCCACGGAGGATGCGAGATACTTTACCGGGGGCCGCAATCGGTTTTAATACCGGGCACCCATCCGGTTCGGGCCTACTTATATTTGTTCTGGGTCATCGAGAGGAGGATGGAGCTGCTGGTAAGATTGCGGGACCGCGGCTTTGCAAACACTCATCTATGGGGGGGCTGGTTCCATCAGCTATCGTTGGGGGCCCCATCAGCGACGAGAGCTTCGCAAACAACTCCTCCGCAGCAAGCAAGAGTGCGTCCAGCGTTAAGTAATTGACTACCGTCGACACTGGATTCTGTCGAACAAGAGTGTTTTAATAAATTGCGAAAAAGGGGCTTGGATGGGAAAGTTCTCTGTTTACTGGGAGAAGAATTTTTTTTTGATGGAGAAAATGTTAGATTTAAATTGTGGAAAAATAAATTGTTTGCGTATGGTAAACTTCAACAGAGTGTAAACCCAACTACCAACTGAGATGATTTAAAATCACAAATATTTCAACCAAACTATTATTGTTACCAACCTAGAGGACTTGAAATTTCATATTTGACGCATTTAACAACAGAATGGTCTATAACTGCCAAATTAAAAATTGCTGATGAGAATGATATTAATAAAAATTGTTCATAATAAATCAAAAAAACATAATCCATAAATTATTTGGCATATTGATTTCAAAGGTACTCAAAACAAAATCATCACCGATTGTAGGAAAAATTTTTTTAATCCAAATAGAATCACATAAATCTTTCGAAAATTGAAATTTTCCACATTGAAATGAATATCCATTAGTTGTTAATAAAGTCCCATTGTGGCCGTGGATAACATTCGATTACCAGAACGGAATTTCAATCGGGAATTTGTGTTCCAGGGGCTGGTTATCGTTCGACAGCTGTCCAACGAAAACGCCTCCATGCATTTCCCCCCAACTACCCCCCGAACCGGCGAATATCAAATTAAGTGGACAACAGTGCCAGTTGGTGTTCACGCCAAAACCGACGTCGAACGGGCAAATATTTACCCGAAATCAGAGTAGACCGTTGTGTTTTTGGGGATGATAAAATCGAGAGCAGATGGACATGTGACCAAAACGAAATCAATTTAATCTAATTCTCATTTAGAATCAAAAACAATTTAATCTCTTTTTTGGCATACATGATGAAATGAAAATAATTAAGTAGAAATTCGTGTTCTAATTGAGACGCTAATCTCGTAAACGGCTAAAAGGTCCTTGGTTTGGATCCGTTGCTAATGAGACGTGAAAATTCCAACTCAACTTTCCCAACAAATACGTGATTTGATTGCGGGTAAATTCCACCGCGCTGCAATTTTCTAGACGTCCCTCTTTCTCTCCACCCTCCACCCCTTTTTTGTGCTGTCCGTTTCGTTTCCATTTTCCTCTATATCCAATGCGACCGGCATAGAATTCTGGAAAGCGTACTCGTATTCATACGTCCGAAAGGCTAATTTCATCCCATTGTATTATTTTTGAAGTTTAATTAAAAGCTATGGCTGGTGAAATTTCCAACTCTCTCAACCTCGGCAAATTGGCTAAAGTTCGTTAGACTACAAAAACTACCTCCGGATTAACTGTGAGAAAGCGTTACAGTGTAGTACGTTTTAATATCTTCTCTAATTACCCATTCGAACTTTTAGTTTAACAAGAGGTTTAACATTGCTGTTTCATGTCTTTTAGAACAATCCTCGTCTTTGGCTAGCTCATTTACTTGATCAAATTTAAGTTGTATGAGTAAAACGAGTGGAATATAAAAAAGAGATGTATTCATACTTTTGAAAATACGAGGAATTAATTCAGTCAAAGTTAGAGTGCGCCTGAAGCCGGGGAAACAAAGGATTCGCTCATAAATTTTTCATAAATATCTCACCGTAGGTGTGTTTGAGCATTGTTATCGATGGAAATGCGAATGCAGATTGCGATAAAAGGAAAAGAAAAAAAGGATCTCTTTTTTGCGTCGAAGAACCACCTTTATTTGATACAGTTGTCCGATACGAAGCGGGTTCTCCATCTGTTCCGCCCTTTGATCATCAACTAACAGCGTTATGTAAAGTTAAGGGAACTAAAGGGAAACGGCTCTTCGGCGAATTATTATTTGGAATTATGTAAAAGGGAAATTGCGTCGTCGAACTTAGGGACCTCGACTTAAGTATACATTTATTCTTATTTATCTGTTGAAGAAAAAAATCTGTTTTGCCGTTAGCCTTTCCCCACTTACTATTCATCGTTTGCGTTATGGGGTTGCCCGAAGATAGTTCCCTCTTCATATTTATTGTTATTTCTCTCGCTCTACTTCGCTTTATCATTTAGATTTCACACTATCGCGCGATACCATAACGACGCTCGGAATTTACAACCCGGACGAAGGGCGTTTCTGAGACCGATCTATAGAAATAATAATAAAAACCCACCCCCTATAGGTTTTACGCCCGGAAAATGCAAATATTTACGACTTATAACCTATACACAGCCGTAAAACATCGCGTACAGATCCCTGACGTGCCAAAGAGGTCTGTCGTTGAGCTTCCACTCGATTTATAGCTGTCATAGAAAAAAATGCCAACTCCTTTTGTCTTTCTCGACCACCCTAACATCGCCAGAGGATGGGGACGATCCCCGAAAATTAATTATCCAATTATTTCCGAACTGAGAACGTCGCTTAAGACTTATTCGACCATATGACATCACATAAAACAACCAGAACTGATCCAAAAACTTATTTACGAAGCCCAAAGAAAGTTGAACTAATAAAAAGGATTACGATACTAAGTAATCAGGTCGTTTATATTCAAGTCGGTATTTTAAGCGTTTCATAACCACGACAATTTTCGCTCTCAATAGCATCTTTATCCCCGACATTATCCGTGTGACATTAAAAGTCCTTTCGTAAATTTTCTAAAATGAGATAACAACCCCTAGTATAAATTAACTTGGCTCCCTTGGCGGACACGCTGAAAACTTAGCAAATCCTTCAAGGATTCAAGAAGGGATCAGCAGGACGCGCGAGACAATCGA